TCGGAACGCTTAGATCGGCATTGCCAAGGCTTCGTTTTTTTTTTTTTTTTTGTTGTGTTAAAAAAAAAAAAAAAAAAAAAATCAAAAACATGGTTCGCTTGCTTTGAAATATCAGACGAGTTCGAATTTCCGCTACTTTTCCCCCGTGCGGAAAGTAATACACGCTCTATTTCCCGCGAGAAGACAAAGTTCTGACAATACACTGTGGTGTGTAATACACCTTGCGCGCCGTGTTAGACATCGGTAAAAAAGTCATTTTCAAAACAAAATTATAACAGATGACAGTTAAATTGGAACCTCTATAGAAATGTGAACTTTATCGCGCGTCGGTTTCATAAAAAACAACGACAATATGTCACAATCACTACGTGACAGCTACGGATATAAATCATATGATGACCAGAAACACACACACACACACGTAAATATCCACGACACTTGTACACACACGCAATAGGCGGTCAACTTTTGAAAAGTTTAAATTTGCTGACCCAATTCCAAACACGAAATATGTTTACGTAACAAAGTTGACGTGAAAATCGTCAAATTTTTCATGCGGCAACTCAATATGTGTATTATGAGTACACGTTTGTTATTTATTTATTACGAGTACGTACACATTTTTTTATTATTGCAATATTGTATATTAACGACCGATTATTTGCGACTTCTTTTTCTTTTTGTTATTCAGATAATATATTACTCGGATAATATTTATTTATGATTTTGTGGCGTGCGTTCTCAACGTGCACAACACAAATGACAAATGTTCTTATTACTTCGGATCGCGTGACATCACGTTCGACGCGAACAAAAGCTTCGGACAGAAAAAAAAAAAAAAAAATGTTACACGTGTCAAAGTGACAGTTCGACAGCGAATGCGCGACGCGAGAATTCCATCTCGGTCAACTGAAATTACGAGGGCTATTTCTGCAGCGATCGACAATTGCACATCGACTTTTTTAGTAGCAAAAATTCAACGATTGTTCTGGACTTTGCGGCATTTAATCGTCGACGTCGAAAGTCGCGAGACGAAAATTGTGGATGGGAAAAACAGGGAGAAAGGAGAAAAGATGCGGATTGATACAGAGGTCTACATATTTATCGAGCACGTAAACCGCTTATATGCATACATCGTTGTGCCGTTTTCTGTGTAGCGGTATTACAATGGAACTTCAGTCAAATAAAATCTATAAACTATAAGGTTCGATTTAAAACTGTGTCTCGAATGAAATTTAAATGAATTCGAACGTTGTGTCAAGAATTGCGTGAACTAAAATTTTTAAAGGTTTCAACAGTGAACATTTCCGCAGATGAGAAAACAGTTGAAAGCTAACAAGGGTCTGAATGCGACAGTTTTTCGAAAAATCCTTTTTTTTTTACGCATTGCCTTCAAATTTATCTATTGGCACACATTTCATTTTGCTAACAAGAAAGAAATTTTTGTATTGTCGATCGGGGAGAGGTTTTCTAAATAGAAAAGGAGGATGAATCGAGCATATGCCGCACCCCTCGCTCACTTCTCACTTGCGCGACCGTGTGTTTTGACCAAATTATTCTTTCGCAATACAAAGTTCAAATCATGCGAACCATGTGGTGGCGATCGACAACATTTTCAAAAAACCAAAACGTATTTGACACGCGCAAAAAAGTACACACAAGTTAAAAAAATAATAAGCACGCCGTAATAACGAAAGAACATATGGAAACGCGGTCGTTTTGAAATACATTATTCATCATTATTTGTCTCGTAACAGAAATATTCGCGCGTACAGAAATGCAAATCGTTGCGCGTAAAGAGCGTTCTTAAGCTAACAAACGTACAAACGTTCAACGAATGTTGGAAACAAAAAAAAAAGTAAAGCAGCTAGTGTTTAACAACGAGTCGTGGGGAAATGACCACTGACTCGTCCGCGATTTATTCTTGATAGCTCGCAATCAATCGCGAGTTTTAGCGAGACTGTTCGTATAAGGATAATTGATCGTGTGTAGTTCAGAGAGCGCGCGTCCTTTGTACATAATGAGCGTCCCGTGTGTGTATGTTCTGCGTGTGTGTGTGTGTGTGTGTTGATTAACTATCTAGGTTATCGTCAACGCCATTCACGTTCGACGTCATTGAGTCGCATGCATGCTGTGCGTGAATGCGGTTGCAATGTGATAATGCCGGTAATGATAACGCCGGCGGTACGGCACCCTTTGATTCTCAGATTTATTTCTGTCTAATTAATTAGCAACATTGTAAAATACTTAAGAAAAAAAAAATAAAACCGAGCGCAAACGCAGCGGTTTTCTTTTTACGCAAAAAATGTTTTTCGCGTATCGTCGTGTCCGTCGAGAATCGTTAGAAAACAAAAATGAAATACCCCACCAAAAGAGAAGCGAAAAAGAATTCGCGATTTTCACGGCAGAAGAAATCAACGAAAAATCGCGAAAGCGTTTATTTCCGCCCGGGATAATTCCCTGCGGCAATTGATCGATTGAATCTCGCAGTGAGAAACAGAGTGACCTGATTTTTATTTCCGCCGGTATTGCCGCTTCGCAGCGTTATACGCGTTTTTTTGCCTTCCCCAGAGGGAGGAGAAATTAGTTTGTTACAATGCCTAACACAATATCTGATAATTTATAAGAGCGTGCGAGTCGCGCACTTATTTCATGCGACGCGATAGATCTCGAGCGACAAATGATAGATGTGTCATCGCGATAAGTGTGCGAATAGAAGTTTGTACTCGAAGACAAGTCAGTAGTGAAACTTTGCGTTTGTGTTTATGTGTGTGTGCGTGAAACATCTTGGTGTCCGCAAATACAATATAATTATATCGAGCGAGCAATATTTCGGACACTCAAGATAAACGCGAATTTCGATCGCGAAATCACGATCCTCTTCTCTTGACTCAACTTTGTCTAGATGAACACGTCAAGAAATATATCATTGTCGATTAAATCAATCACATTATTTATTGTACTGTTGAGAGATGTGTCGTTGAATTTTTCTAGAAATATAGATAGTATATTTATTTATTTTTATACTGGACGCGCAACTGCGTCCGCGCTGTATTTAATTGCGAATGGATATTCCGAACGGGCGCTTGTTGTTGTTAATGAGCGTCTGTTTTTCGGTTAGATCTTTCGCGTCCGCGATTCATTAGTTTCCTCTCGTTGATTTTCCACGATAATAATCACAGAGAAGCTCATTTTCGGCGCTGATTAAACGTTGCTGAAAGCGTCGCGTTTGTTTGATCGTTTAGCTCGTAGTACTTCGAACCGCGACGAAACGAATAAAACGATAAGCTCGCGCGCGGAAACAATAAAATTAGCGTTAACGATAACACAAATGGTTCGAAATGCGATACAATATCAATGATACTTAATCTATTAGCCGAGTAATCCGCCGAATGGATCCGAGTATCGATATGAACGGATGTATCGGTATTCGATTCCTACGCTCCTCCTTTCTCTGTCCCTCCTCTCACCCTTCCGCCGCCGAATTAAACTAGACGCGGCGTTTCGACGTGTGTATTGCCGTCGGCACACACACACACACACACACACACACTACGTGTGCGCTACGTGTTTTTAGCGATACGTACGTGTTTTTAGCTGTTAGGATTATTTGCACGCGCCAAGTCGCGCGAATTGTGGTCCAGGCTTTAACGTAGAGTTTAAACACACGCAGAAAATTGCCACGCAGATCGATCTCGTTCGCTTGCCGAGACACACTACCAGGTTTTCGCAGCGCGAAACGAGACGTCTCGTGCACATCGTAATTTTTCTATACATCGTTTTCGTCTCCCTTCGGAATATAAACTTATGGTTGGTCGCTTCGGTCCAATTCCGTAGTTACAATCTAGCATCTTCTTCGATACTCTTGTTACATTACAACAAGTGTTGCTACGCGGTGGCGTGAGTCACAGGAGTCATAAATCGCGCCAATGAGTTCGTCAAATTTCGAGACATATATATATATATATCAGAGAGAAAACAATGTGTGCTATTACACAACACACATTATGTCGAAAATTACATATATATATATATTATACATTAATCAGGCGCAATCAGCGATAATTGTTATTATGATAGTTTTTCAAAATTTTATCCGTTTACGTTTTTAACAAGAGGATTATCTTTTTAACAATTCTGAACAAAACTGTTATACAAAACGTACGTACGTATAATGTCTCATACAGAGCGTCTGTTAAATTTGTACATTTAAATTTATATACAAGTGTTAAATATCGTGTGAAATAATTTTAATTTCTTGCCAAGAGAGAATTCTAAATTAATTTGTTGCAAAGTGACTGTGTGAAAAAAAGAAAAACAAAAAAGAACGAGACCCCCGTTTTGACGGGAGGATGCGTGCGAATGTCAAGAAGAGAAGAAAATTGCAGTTTCGAACTTCGCTTTCCCCGCAAAAAGTCTCTCGCTGCAATTGGCACGTGCGTTTCGCAGCCAGACACACACTCGCGCGATAATTCTATTATTACGCAACTGTGTGTGTGGAAGTCGGTGCTTGTTTAAGCATCGACTGCATTTCAGCAGCGGATGCGTTCGTTCATATCCATCACGCCGCACCGTTACGTATAATCAATTTTTCCATCGGAAAAGAGATCGTATCAATCGCCGTGAAATGAAACCAACGTGTGCACGTTGAACAATCTCTCGCTCATTGAAGCGCGCGAAGAACGATACGTACCGCCATTTTTCCGCCTAAGAATTATTCATCACGGGGAAAAAATCCGCGAAGTAACGAAGGGTCGATTTCAATCTCCGAACGAGTTATCTTAAGCAATTCCGAATTTAATAAAAAACATACACAAAATAATTATTAAACAAACTGCACTGTTAATAAAATATATTCGTTTGGGGTGAAAGCGGAAGATAAATGCAAAATAGAATTACCGGAAAATTTAGTTTGCATTTCTAATGCCTCGTGGCTGCAAATTAGTATCATGACAATTGTGTATT